TATTTTTGAATCAAAGCAGGTTTTGGTAAGGCATCGGTACACCATTTTGGTTCCAACAATTGAGAAACTTATGTCGCAATGCTCTCTCTAAATAGGTCCGGTGGAACCGCACGCAGATGTAATGGGGACATATTGTGTGCATTTTGGGACGCAAGTTTGGGGCGTTGAGTACTATGGTCATTCATTAGTATGCGATTAAAATCTTGTGGTGAGTCAAAATATAGCGCAAGACCGAGCCGTTTACAGAAGTGTGAAACAAGCCCTCAAATGTAACCTCCGATATGAACGCATTTGTATCTCTGTTCTAAATAATAGCCTAAAACCTTCAGCATTCGGATTGAGTTGCATTTACTGCTGGGCCAAATTTAGGTCTCGGGTCCATAACGGTAGCCCCACAAATCACAGGCCAGTTAGAAATAGCAAGCATGAATGGCACATTGAAGAGTACACCACAGTTAGGCCTACACCTGAACTTGAACCAGTCGATTGATTGACCGAAGTGTCAAGACCAAACAACGCCTGTAAATTTCAGTAACACCTGGATTCGAGAAAATCTTTAGAAGAACGGCCACATGCATAAACTATGAGGCTATGGACACAATTTGAATGATAACTGCACCTAAATATCAGGTGCGCTATAAATAAAAAAACTATCATGTTATCCCTGTCGGTGCGGAAGACTGCTGGCAGTAGAAATAACAACTTGAACTTACGGGCCATTCATAAGCGTTAGGATCGGAAGCCTTTGTCGCATAAATAAATCTAAACGAAACAATTTTAAATGCTTGCAAAGAAAGTGCTTGATAAAGTTGAAAGGACACGCTAGTAAGGAGCCCAGAAATAGTGTGTTGGAACGAAAGGTGTATTCAGAATTCCTAGAGTGTTTCTTGTGAACTCGTAAAAAATATGTTTAGGTTAATGTTCAGTTAAATGACTATTTGCCAGTTGAATGACTGACAAGCGACACGACTGACCAGAAGATGTGCCCTCTTATACACACCCATGGACGTCAATCGTTGGGGGACGGGGGGGGGACATGTCTCCCACCTTTCCAAGGATACTATATCAATTGCTCCCCCCATTGATTGAATTACTTAAACCTTTGCAGCTTTAACCAGTGACAACGATTCAAGGAAATATTCACTTGATGAGCTTATTTTCAGCCGCTGTCTCCTCCTGATCATTTGAGCCCCTTATTTCAGATTGGCTTGATGCAGGTAGAAAGAAAAGATGCAACTTACCCATGCCAGCCACCGTACAAAATCAGCTTGTCCAGGCGTCTTAATCGCAGCGTGGCCCCCTGACAGGTGGGGGAGTGGGCCTGAGCCTAGTGCCGGCCCTCTTTGATGTGATGCCATATCTAATTAGCCAGGTGAACGGCTGAAAGGGGCAGAGACGCCAGTTTGTAAAATGTCATGACTGGAACAGGTGATGGCTTAATTGTGTCCATGGCATTGGCCGATCCAGACCTTAGCGACGCTTTACTTAATTGCATTCCGGGGAGGGTTATTCAGGGGATACATATTGGAAGAACTTTGTTTGTTATCATTTTATTCCTTGGGTACGAGATTGCTGGTGCAGTGAATCACCTCTTATGTTTGAGAAACACAAAATCGGAACGGCAAACAGACACAAATGTGTAAATACCTTCAGCCTTGCCATGCCCTGGACGGCTCCGCATTGAATGGGAAATTTCTTTTGGTGGGATATTTTTGGCCAGATTCTGGGGACATAAGAGCTATATTTTATAATTCCACAGATTCTACTCGTTCTTCTGTTTGCATCTTAACTTTATTGGAAGAATTTGGATAGGATTTGTACATTATTGCATTATAAGGCATCATTACCTAACCTGGGACCTTTTGTTCTCTGTTGCTCAGATTCAGGAACGAATTCTACAACATACTGTAATATCCTTTCAGTGTCAATACTGACCTTTTCGAGACCTACTTTTGGGACTTAAATCGGGTGAACTGGAAGCGTTGGTTGTTCACGTTATGAACTTGAGGGCTGAGCTTCGTAAAGTCTCAACAGCACTGCGTTAATGGAATGAAAAATCGTTGTTTCTAGAGATGGTGTCATCTGGAGAAAGCTGAACTTACATCAATTTTGTGAGAAGATTGGCAGTTTTAAAGAACCTGAAGGAGAAGCTTTTTAGTGCCTTCCTTTAAAAGGCCTTTCAACTTTATTACCACAACGACAAAAATACCTTAACCGTGCAAACCCAGACGTGAAGGATAAGACTTTTATCAAAAGGTCAATGCCACATGTCCAAAAGAAAGTGAGCCTCATCCAAAATTCTTGGGATGAGCAAAATAGGCAGTTGCGCGTACACCAATTATTTATTTCATTAAATCAGTATTTAGCATGGGCGACTGGTCCATGCACAATGAGACGGGACCATGATAAAATAAGCAAGCTTAATGAAAGTTCTGAAGTGCATATAAGGTTCACAGACCAAATCCAAATAATAAACAAGGCATGCGCTTTTGAAATAACCTGCCGTCTCTAAAAGTTCATTAAATGTTAATTTCTCACATATTAAAGCTACCTCGACCAAACAAACGTACAAGTTTGATGACAAATTGCGTCCTTCACTTTTGAGTGTAATAATATATTTAGCAGCACCCAGAAAAGGAGATATGAAACATCCTTTCTGTAAAGTCAGCATTTATTAAATTCCAACAATAGCAAAGCGGCTGTTGGTTTTGAATCTCAAAAGCTGTCAATCTCGTGAAATCGTACAGGAAGTTCAGACATATAATTTCTATTCCATTTGTCCTTAAGATATAGAATCGTGTTTGTACTTACTCTCTAACCTCAATGCTTAAGGCACTGCTTCTGTGTCCCTTGGGCTTTCGCTCGTCTAGTTTGTTACTGCTTTTCCAATTTCCTCGAAAACATATCCAGCATCTTAGACGGTGATTCCACGAGTAATTACGGATTTTGCACGCGCAGCAGAACCTGCTGGTCAAGAAGTTGTCGCTAACTAAAAAACTGAATGCCCCCTGCATTCAGAAAAAAATTCCCCTGGCGATCACGCTGATTTTCCTTTCTTCTCTTTAATAATGAGGTGAATAAAACATTTTAGTCGGAATGGATAAGCTCAGATCTCGGTCATCGAATTTCGCTATGTTGATAAGAAAGTTTGGGAGAGATGAATTTATTTGTGCTTATTCGTGTTTAACTTGAGCATTGTTTATGTAACACTGCCCAATTCCGTGGTGACACAAAAACCTTTCAAGTTTGACAAAACTGTGTGACGTTTTGCCAATGGAAAAGCATGAATATTTAACAAGAGGTAAACCCCCTTGAGCAAACAATGAAGAAAATACGCAGACTAGTGTGGAATTTCGGCATCAGATTGAATTTCCTTGACTCGATAGTAAAGAGTGAGTAATTACCATTCTGATGTTTTGCAGAGAATTTACAACCGATTATGTGTATATTTTATCGCAGAATGTTTTTATTTCATAATATTTGCAATTTCTTTATGCAGGACTAGCAGACATCCCTTGTGTGTTACACAATTGTGTTTTTTTTTTTTGAGAGGGGTTGCCCATAACGGATTACTTCGGAAAATTAGGTCATGCCACGTACGGTTGATTTCCCTTGCTACTCGCGGAGAGTTGCTCACTCGTTTCTTTTTGATTAATGATACATTTGCAACTGCATGCACGATGCAAAAGCAGAGCTTGAGATCCTTGGAGTCAAAGCAGAGGAGGTTGCTGCCAAAGCTCTTTACAGATTGCTCTGGTTGATGCTCGAAAGCCCGCCCTCTGTTACCACTTCTGCTTGAGTTCTACAATCCCTCCCCATCGCCTAAATTGGCCTACGGTGTTCCCTATCAAAGTGCCCTACATAGTGCGATCCGCGTCCAGCCATCAAGAGTCCTCGTGTTCCTATCCGCCTCGAGCAGAAGCACCCCCTCATTGGTTGAAAAGAGCCCTGTGGTCGGGAGTATTCATTTTGTTGGTATCGACTCGACTGCAACGCTTGTGTTTCGTAGTCGTTTGTGAACCAGCGAGGCGCCGTTAGTACGAAAGGAGCCTCCGTTGCTGAAGAAATAACCCCCGCTCTTGACCCATCTTGAGGCCCATTTAAGCTTTTTTGTCTGACCGAAATCAAATGCAGTTTAGCATGGATAGAAGTCCCAGTGGATGACTGTTGCAGAACTCCTTTTTAGGCCACAGCTGCTTTTATGAGTGAATGTTTGCCAAATCTTTCACCAGACGCTTTCTTGCAACCAATGCTTTATAAATGATAACAAGCCTTTATTTTATGTCTACATGCTCATAAATGATTTATTTTATGCTTTGATGCATACATTAGGTCAGAGGCAGGATATTAGTATGTTTTAAATTGAAGTTAAGGGTTATTTTGTTGGTGTTGTCATACCATTTTGCAAAATGCGAATATACGTGTAACAGAACAAGACCCTTACCTTTCAGTGAAGGTGCAGTTTTTTAGGGGTAAACTTTTCCATTTGCTAATCACATAGACAGTCTAGGACGCTGCAGAATACTGGAAGAAGTAGAATAATTTCAATCGTCTGCCTAACATGTACATCGCATGATGTCTGGTGCCTTGAGCGAGATCAGACACAAACAGTGATCGACTGCAGCAACATGTCTAAGCACGTTCATTTAGCAATTAATTATGCTTATAGTGCATAGTCGGTTCAAATGAAGTGTGCATGTGTGCATTTTCTGCTTATTTAATATAGGTTCTCTTATATGAAATTTAATTTAGTAGTATAATAAGGCAATATACTTCCACCCCAGCCACTTACCCGGTGCATATATCGGTTCCATTGTTTCCTAATTAAGAAAATACAAGCTTTTCTGATAAAAGAAGAGAGATCTGCAAAATAATGAACATAGCCACGGAATGGACTGGTGTGAAGAAAATGCCAGTTGTATTTTTGTATTTGTCTCATTTCGCAAGCTTAGAATTGTTCAATTATTGATGTCGTAATCTTTTTTGGTTCATCTTTTCAGCATCAGCTGCAGACAGAGACGACAGAACACAATGCCACGCTATGATAGTAGATTCTTCAAAGAACATTGGTGAGCCATTGATATTGTATTCTTGTCCACATGAAACATTATTTTCAAATTCATAAAGCATTTTTTCAATTCAAAGTAAAAGAAGGGTGCTTCCTGCTACTTTTTAAAAATCCAGTTTTTCGATATATAATATGAAGCCCTATATTAGCTCACCAGAGGTAAACTTCCGGTAGCTACTGCAAGAATAGTTTGAAGCCAACTAGCTAAGATACTGAAAGGGGATATTGACCAATTATAGTGCCGTCAGTAAGGGACTGAACAATTTATTAATTCAAAAGAAAGCGGGAAAGAATTTAAAACGAGTCACCGATTTGCACATGATGCGTTTGCTAGGAGAAACAACGAAATGAATTAAACTTTATCTTACCCGCTACATCTGCAAGCTTTAAACCACTATTAGCTCGTAGGCGAGGGACATGCATCCGATGGGGGTACACGTGTAATATATAAAGTTCAAGCGTGTCTAGCCGGATGCAAACAATGTTATTCGGTTCACTGGAATGAACACGACATGCCTCTAGGAACAGATCATTTTTGCAGCATTTTTTCACGGTCGCTCTGCAGCATAAAGATTCGACCTGTCGTTATATCACCATTCATCCTTCTGCCGCTGCCTCTCTCTCCCTCTGTATCTTTTTAAAACATTAAGTATTCGCGCTTGAGATGACATAATTTGCCAAGGCTCAAACATTATCGGCTTATAGTAATGGTGGTAAGTGGTTATTAAAAAAATGACATATAAAAACCATATGTGTGTCATTTAAAAGAATTAAATAACAACTAGAAAAAAGAGAGGGTAAAATTACAGGTATTTACGAAAAATTAAAGACACATGCATTGCAAACAATTGTTTTAATAGAAGTCACTTGACAAGGAATGGTACATACACCATCAATTATGTTTACTACGTAAAATCTACTTAATAATTCTTATTAAACAGAGTAGTCAAATGTCAAATAATTGTGAAATTGTAAATCATTGGAAACTCGCGCACTGGAATTTGCGCCGCATTTAACGCCTACCCTCACTCAATAAAACCACCCATTCTAATTACACTAGACCCTTATATTTTTATTATAGGTTTTACAGACCTGGTTAGCTCTGAAACCAAAAACAGGGAATGCCAGCTTCTTTTGATGAGTTGAATTTAACCATGGTAGACACCGATACCAGGGGCGGATCCAGGAATTTTCAAAGAGGGGGGGTCAGGTCGGGTTTTTTGTTAGATGTCTTACTATTGGGACATGCAGAAATATGGGTGAAATATTACATGGCATACATTGTTTGCAGTGGTACTGGTGCACTTACCTTTGTACACTTCAGCCATTTCAGTTACACTTCAGTTATTTCTCCCATTTTTAAAAACCTTTGTTATCGAACCCCGGTTCCACGCCTGGATACTGTAGTATCACATGTATTCCAAATTCATCTCAAGGGTTGTATTTCACTGCCATCGATTATCCATCCAATCACACTCATGCAAACATGTTCATGTAATTTGAAGCCCACAAGAAGAAGAAAGAAACGAAAAGGGAAAAGCGGTATGCCGAGGTGACCAGCAGTTGGCCACCTTGAACTTATCTCAAAACTGCATAATCCGAGAATAAAGGAGCTTAGGTGTTTGTCGAAGGTTATCAAAGCACACTGGCGGCGGGATGCAGAGGCCAATTCCCGTCAGCTGCATTTGGTTTATTGTTATAATATGCAGATTGCATCTCCTACAAGACTTGCTCGCTCAAGGCTGCGCAGATTTGCCATCTGATAGGTAAATTTGGCTTTTCTATTTAAACATATTGGGGATGTGCTCAAGCATATCCACGGAAAAGGCTCGCACGTTTTTAAAGCTGTAAAAACACATTGGAAAACCATTCCACATCTGTAACTTGAAACCATGGAGGAAGGACACAAACATAGTGGGTCCACTGATTAAAATTTACGATGGTAACCGTGGATACGTAAATAACAGCAAGACTCTACATACGTACCAGCTGAAAAGTGAAGTACAACAGTTTCCTAGGCTATATTGATGAATTTCTTAAATTTGTGTAAAATTTGTCCACATCTAAATCTTTTTTCAATTGTACATATTTTCTGAAGGAGTGAATTAGCTCACATGGTATTGTTAACTTAGGGAAATTTCAGCTTGCATCTATAAATTGTACATGCTCTGACCTCATAAGTGATTTGGAAAACTCTTGTATGAAACCTTTACGCTTAAAGTGTTCGTGCAAAGAGAAAGAGCATCTTAGAAAGCGAGCTTCCCCAAAACAAAAAAATTTTTGACATAAGTTAAACAGTGTGCTTCTTTGGTGCAATATTTCAATTACAATTACGGTTACAATTATTTGACCCCTTGAACCTACTTCCAAGCTCGTGATTTAGACAGACTTTGAGACATGGGCGTCATAACACTCATTAAAAAGTAAATCACCCTCAGACATGGTTCCAGTTCACATCTATTCGTATTTCCTACTTAAGCGTCGTTTTACCAATACTGTAGGATGTTCATGTATCGCCCCACAGGCGTATTCACACGCCGTGATATTAATTTCTAAGTAAATTGCCCGAGTGAAAAGTCAACGGATGGCTGTTTGATCAGGGTGGTTTCTCCCTTCAGTTGCATGCGACAGAGGTTTCCGTAGTGACAATAGAATACGTTTGGTGAAGCGGTTCGGCACAGTTTGCTAACTTACCTTGCCAGTCGTGCCCGTTTCAAAGGCACCCCGTGCACAGCGGGCACAGAGGGACGCGGGCGCTGAACATGCAGTCGTGAGATATCAATAATTCCCACGCGGGCTGGCCTCGTCAAATCAGGAGTGGGAGCCTAGTTCAAGGAAGGGACAAAACGAAGATGCGTCATTCCCCAATCTATATGATAAATCGTCGGGTACGTTGTCCGTGGAGATTTCTATCGGAGGTGGGGAAATAGAATCGGCCTATATTCTTGGACTCGCTATTCATTAAAGGAATAACTAAATCAGGGCCTAAGCCCACCTCCTCTAGTTTATTAACACCGTAATTGAAAGGAGTTCTTGAGCTTTGGAGGAGGACGGTCTGGATTTTGAACTAAAGCGTTGGCTTGAAGGAAGTTGAAATGAGGTTTGTCCTGAACGGTGTGGGGTAAATTTTACCTCACGCCGAGACCATTTGCGGGCTCTTTTATATGATGTGTGACAGTGCTTGTCATATCCCAAATGAAAACTTTTCGTTCACTTCAGCTTTGAATAAAATAAGGAATATTTCCAGGGGCGGATCCAAGATTTCCCTGAAAGGGGAAGGGGTGATCCTGGATTTTATCAAAGTGGGTGGGGCGTGATCAAAGCAGTAATGGTAAAATGACCGTACGGTGTGGGTTTGGGAGCCATTCTGTATTCTAGGCGTTTTGTTGTACAATTTCAGGCAATATGACACCCCTCTTTTCTTCTCCCTCCTCGAAGCCTCCACGCCCCCTGAATCCGCCCCGATTGCTTTTGTCTTTGCAAGGCTCATTTGGTCTCTTCCAAAGGCTGTATAAGACATTCCAGATGAGAACCCGTTATTTAGTGTTGAATTTATACGTTCGCTGACCACACAGGATCCTCACCGGATCAGCCTTCCTCTGTGTTTCCGAAATGCTTGTGTTCCCCGATGTACGTGTTTTGAAAGCTAAACCATATTTCTAATCGTGTTATGTATTAAAGTGGCATCTTGAATACCATTTCCTAAGCATCCTTAGAACACATGAAAGATACCCAGTTTCATTTCCCATTCACTGGCAAAGCAGTTGCATGTTATCAACTTATCTGCCTTAATCTGTTGTTACATATGCCGTGTTAAATCTTTGAATGAATGAAACATAAAAAATGCACGTACTGTACAGTTTCCACTTCCCACAACTTGTTTCAACTACTTTTGCATTATCACTCGCGTCACAAATAGCTCAAGTAGAGCATAAAAGGATCGACAGAACCGTCGAAATTTGATAAATTTATTGATTTTAGCCCTAAGTAAACCCTAGCAATTATGGTCCACGACACAGTCGTGTTATGAAAGCTTGAAAATGCAATTATCTAGTATTACCGCAGAGATAGAGCGACAAAACCCTTAGGTCGGACGGAAATTTCAGTATACTTTTCAGTGGTCCTGTAGTTTAAGTTATGACAGTGAACTGTCCCAAACAAATGAGGACTTGTAAGTTTATCTGCCACGACTCACTGTTCAAGTGATCATTGCCAGATACGGCAAAGGTTTTCAACCAATAACTTGGTTGATCAGACCATAAAATCGAGCTGATCAGGACATTTACAACGAGAGTTACCAAGGGGCTTCCTTCCGTGTAACTTTATCCAGCCCCAGCACATAAGCCCCAAGGAGAGGACGTAAGTGGTTGATAATTTTTAAGCGGTGATGTAATTAACCAAGGGCAGGCTTGGTCGTACTTTCCAGCAAGGGCTCCCAAGAGTGCAACTGGCATCCCGAGTCGCTTCGCTTGTGGCTTTGTAATGAAGTTTCCGAACGATCTCTCTCACCTCGTTTAGATTTTTTCCTCTTTCTAATTCTCTGAAAACGTCTGGAAACGATTTAGACGAGTGGAGATGTTGACGATTCTTGCCAAATAGACAAGCATGAAACACATTGACTTAAAGAAATAGTATCTGTATATTGAATAGAAAAAAATCACATCTCTAAGGTCACTTTGATCGCTACAGGGTCCGTCATTCCTCACGTCCACGAATGCCACGGTCCTCGAATATTGACAAAATTTCCAAACTTATTCTAGGCCTATGTTCTGTTTATTTCAGTTGAGATTTTTCCTTATGTTTAGTATACAAACATATTACTTGGCAACTACCCCACAGAGGAAATGAAGAATTTCAATATACTGTATGTTGGAATAAGACGTGAAGGCCCAAAGATAAGCCTCTTCGTATAGATACAATTTATGTAGATCATAGGAGAGTGGACGCTGAAATGCCTTACCCGGAGACCAGGGACATTACTTGTGTCCATTCTTTGGACGTTCTCCCAGCTGGTCTTGTACGAACGTTTAAGACTAGCTAAGCACATGTTTTCCCTATTCATAAACACCTTAAGTCGAGGAACAAAGTCAAAACAAGGTAACATATTATAAATCTCAATTGTGTGCAAAATTTTTGCGGGAAAACAAACGGGAAATAAACGCAAAACAGTATTTTTCACTCCCTGTATCCTGAAAACCGCTGCGTGCACTAGTATCATTGCAGATAAGGGCTGTTTCATTTATTTCTACCTCCGACCTGTTCATTTCTATTTATGATCTATTTTCAATTATAGTGAATTATCATGAACTTTAAATTTTTATTTCCCAATTGGTATTTAAACTAGTTTGTTACTTTCTTTTAGTAGTTCCAGATCTTTCTTGTACTTTTCATTTCAGTTGCCACCTTCAATAACAGATTTTGTTGTCCCTCGTCCACACGGGTATTGGGTATGAATATTTCTTCATAGGTGTAGTTGTAGGTATCGGAGCAGTGGCCTTATGCTTACGTTTGGGTTTCGCCTCACTGCTTACGCGATTGTCACCGCAGATACGCACCCTAATCCCGCATCGCCTCTCTCCAGGTGATTCAGGCAAAACGGGAGATTGAAGTAAGAGTAGGTTTCCACAATCTGGTTAGCACGCAAATAATTTGATTTGACCGGCTCCGAGGAGAAGTTTAAAACTTCTCAAACGTGGCATATGCCACGTATGTTTCTCCAGTGCAGGCCCATTGCATAACCCCGTCAACCACAACCCCCAATGGAAACGCACTGAGCGCCACTTTTTCAGTAAAAAGATTTTACATTTTAACATTCATTTCAAATAAGAGTAGGCCTACATGACTTGTACAGTTTTTTCACATGAAACATTAATTTAACAAGTGGTTGAGCAGCGGCCTGGTGATGCCATGTATGCTTATTATAGGTCAATAAACGCATTTATCATTTCAGTTTATTGAAAGCAGTTACAACCAAGCACGCATGCATTGTGTAGAAGGTGACAATACCATTACTTTGTGGTGTCAAACTATTGCTGAGACTGTTTTAGTCCTTACTGGGATTTACAGCCACGATTCTTGTATGTTAGTGTAGTAAAAACGTACGGTTTTAACTTTAGAATACCCTCAGATATAAAACATTTGCCATCGCCCTTGATGCCTATTTCCAGTTGACGTGGAAAAGGGTTGGTTTTCCCTAATTTCTCACTAATATATACGACCTCACGTACACTTGCACGTCTGTCACAGTGACATTCCTTTCGACAAACGGTCTAATGAGCTCACGCTGTGTCTGGGCTTGTCCAATGGATTTGATTGTCAGTTTACCGAGATGCCAAAAGAGCGGCGTACTGGACACGATAACAAAACAAAATATTCTATAAAGATTTCCCGCCAATATGAGTCCCCTTGGCATTCCAGCTTGGCTTCTGCATAAACATCTACGACCCACAGGTTACCATGCACGCTTTATTAGCTGCTGATACGTCTGGTCGTCAAAGTAGGACGTCTTGATTATGTTTTGGAAATGATTGATGATAAATGCCAACCTAAGGCCCACAGATTGTGAAACTACACTGGCAATAAATCACCGTCCTGTAACATCTCCAATATTTGAAGCTGCCTGCCACGGCATAGGAAGTGCTTTTATGTTACCGGTAATGCTAGGTTTATCGATCGTTGGCTGATTGGAAATTGTGAATGTAATAAAGTGGATCGTAAGGAAAGAAGACGTAAACATATATCCTGCAGGCTAAAAATAACACTCCAGATAGATATGATTTTTAAACCATTAAATTAAGGCTGTAGACTGATGTTTAGAGTAATATAGGCTTCTAATCATTTAAGAAGTGATAAAACATACTGAAATAGTTCTTCTTATAAATGTTAAAAAGAATTACTCAGTCAGTCAGTCAGTCAGTCAGTCAGTCTCTTTTTCATAATTCGTAAATATTGACCACGCCTTTTTTTCATAATTTTTAAACAATGATAATGTTATACTATATTAGACAATTCAACCGTCTCTTTTTATTTAGGCTAAGGAACACGAATCCAAATATATCTTTGGTGTATTTTAGCACAGCAGTTAAACTATTTGTGAAATATTGCAGAGTATATCTAAACCCCTGGGAATACCAAGGTCATGCCCCAATCACCCGCTAGGTGGTTGCCTATGTGGAAGCATTATGTTACTCTTTTGTCTACACAAGATGCTGATGATTTATGAATGGCTTCAATCGTCGCAAATAAGGTAGGTGCTGGTAAAACAGCCGCAGTTTCTTATATGCACAGAAATAAGGCTGTCCTTGGAAATGGAGCAGGCCATTAGCCATCATCTGGCAAAAGGAAAGGCTCCTATTGTGTTTAATTAATGTGTCTTGTGAACGCAGACGTGGTGCCAAGGCCCCAGTGAAGCCCAGCAATCAGGTGTGAGAACATGATTATAATTTCCTTTTGAAACGAGCATTTATAAGGTCGGTCCAAACAAGTTGTTTGTTCGATCAGTTGGTAAGAATGTCACCGTTAGAGGGAGTATTCCGCTGGTCGGCATGAATTCCAGAGGGCAAATGCTTCGGAACGTTTATCGCAGAGGAGGTAACATTGTGCGCTCAAGAGCCAGACAGGATCACCGTCTCGGACGCTATCAGCAGCACTTACTACTCATTGAGTTGATGGTTAACCGAACATGGCCACAGCTTTACGATGGGAATGACTACCATTATTGGAACAGAGAAGAGGTCGTATTTTTGGACTCCTCGCCTGTAAGGTGAGCAACTACGACGGCCTACCTTTTCCTAGATCTTCCCACGAAGAAAGAGTTTTGCCCAGAATCAATCAAGGCGTGGCGGTCATCTCAACGGTAGGAGTTTTGGGTTTGATAAAGAGGAAGACACCAAATCCATTAACCTTGCCATACTCGTATGCTATAATCTTTCTATCACTAGTAATGTTACTATATGGGTTCTCTTTCTTTATATGTAGGCTGTCTGTATTCTTCACAAGAGTAAAATTAAGGACAATTTTTTAAGCGTAGCTGTTATGTCTGAAACCTGATATTTCATCCTTGATGTCAGATTCACTTTTCAAGGTTTTCTATTTATTTTTTGTACTTTGCATTGTTCAGTTTCTTCAGGTGAAACAAAATTCTCATGTCATATTTAAGGTTGTAATGCAAATGAAAATTTAGTGGCTTAATTGTGTAGTCCCACAACAAGATATTAAAATAGCCGCAATCAATTTTTCTTAGACAGAATGTTTCTTGAACTTTGTACTCTTCTGCAATGTATAAACACTCTTTTGCACTCCTGTTTGGTCCAATACACTGAAAAATGCGTTTTTTAAACACTTAAAATTATCCATTCTGACTGGGACAACCAAAAGCACTGTTGCTATGATGCCATCCAGGGAAGACATAGTTTACTGCGTACGTTTTCCGTTAAAATTGTAATCCCAGAATTTACTTACTAAAAACATTCCTGAGAAAATCATTGGTGCTCAATTATTCCTATGCACATAAACAAAAATGAGTCATCAAAGAAGAAAAAGTTAGTCAAGAAAAACCTACCAAAATGCATGACTTTTAGGAGTTTTGCCTTGGATGACGTCACAGTTTTGCTCATTAGCACAAAACAAAAAGCAGCAAAATACCCTTTGAAGTATTTAAACAAAAGTTGAAAATAAGGTTAGTCCTATCTGAGACACAAAGGTGCATTTGAAGGTTTGTATTAAAACAAATTGATTGATAATGCCTTTAAAGCATTGTATTTTTACAAAAAGGCGACAGCAAAGTAACAAAGGAAAGAAACAAAGAGAAATAACGGGATTTTGACAGTGAAAGTCTTGTTATTCTTCGGAGGCGTACACTGAACCGACATTGAATTACTTTTGAAATTGCGCGACGCTTTCAACGCTCAGTCTTTTCTTCGCAAATGACGCGACGACAAACACGGAGCGAAAGGTAAACGAAGAAAAGGACAGCACTTCGACGCCTCAGAGGTTGCATTTGCCACGTGTTTCATCACGAAACCCCTGCTGGAGCATCCATGTCTTTACCCAAGGTTCATTGACCGGGTGAATAAAAGGTAAGCATCATAGCACACGGCCCCCATCGGTTAACTTAAAAGGAATACTTTTTGTATTTTTGCCATAGTAATAAACACGTGTAGTCAAGTAAAGTCCAGGCTTTGCGTAAAGAACGTCAAGGGAGTTGCGATATGCAAAATGAAAACTCCCATTTAGAATTTATCCTGATCTTGTCCGAGTTATGAAACTCATGGTATCCTGACTGACTGGCAACTAGAGTTTCGACTGACATAAGTAAAGTTTTTTCTCTGGTGTAACTATCAATCTTTAGGACTTCTTATAACATAAGACAGATTGTAGCCGCTAAATTGATTCAGAGGAATGAAAAGAATTTTATACTGTACTTTCTTTCATTGACATCCCTCATTTGGCGTAAATGTTCCATGTTTACAGGAATACTTGTCACTGAAGATTAGGCAGACAGATTTGATTTAAGATGTGAATGGAAAATCTAGCTTTGAATGGCTAATCTTAACTGATTCCAATCATTATTAATCTAGGAATAATTTCACAAGTGTCTGATTTACCCAATCACGCGGAGAAAAGAAAACTACCGCAGCGAAAGTAGCAGCAGCAGTCATTGCGATATTACTTGAAATATTCCACCCTTCTCATTGCCAGTCCCGCCATACCAGTCTGAATGTCATGACCTTAACATGTGACTTAACAATAGTGCAAGTTGGTAACGTGCCCAATCGGTGGGTAAATAATGAATTACATCTAACTGGCTATGCACAGACGAGAAGTTCACTTAGTGGGGGCGTTTGTTTGGTGACGGCCACAGTCACTCGAGTAGCCTTAAGCTCACATATTGAGACAACGGTTTTCGCTCTTACCTCAATCCTCAATGCGTTGAAAATGCAGCACCTGATAAGGTTTCATGACACGTTTTTCTTCGCAGCAATGGTAGCAGACATGTCCATTAGAGTTGTTGAGTTCGAACGCGCTTCGAATTTAGTTCACATCGGTTAGATGAATCACCTGTTGGTTTGAGCAACACATCAGTGTTCAGTTTGAAATTTGCATATCTTCTTCGCCCGTCTTCATGTTTAACCTCTTTAAACATGGTCGGCACCTGAATTTCCGTATGCGATATATTGTGTGTTCAAAGTCTGGCTGTGGCTAGCAACAACACTCACCTCTTTATCTGCTCCGAGCAGGAACAATAGAGCACGTGTTTTGAAATGAAATTTGCTGTATTGTTTTACCATAGACATATAAACGCATGTGTTTTGTACTCACCGTTTGGGCGCGCGAGTTAATGCGCGTTTGACGCGGAGCACGCTGGGTACGCGCAACAAATTAGTCTGGAATGTTAGGTCTTAGCGTGCTCGCAAAACGTGTACAAGAACCCATTTGGAAAACTTAGGCCGGGTCCAAAACGGGCTTCCAGAGCTACGGATAGGTATATTGTCTGCGCGTCTCCACGCATTTCCATTGGAGGGAGACCTAGACCTAGCTCTAGACAAGAGATTCGGATGCAGCCTTAGTCTCATGTATCTTTCTTTTGCCGGTTAGGCTGCACTTCAGCTCACGGCGGATAGAGTACTGAAGTGTGACATCACTGTGAACCAGAAAGTGCAGTGCAAACGAATGGAATTCCCGCGCGTGTTGGTTCACGCGCTGTTTCTCGCGCTAACGCCTTTTAAATACTTACCCCCGTTGCACCATTTCAAAAGTTTCTTGATTCAATTAAAGTTTGTGTACATGCGCCACAATGTATACGGCATGTGGCATGTCAAGAAGACAGAAGGACCAGCCACTTATTATCCGTAAACACCATTTGCATCGTAATAGATGCGCATTACCACATACATTGAGCGAACTACAGGCTTCCATGTGATATGTAATGCCTCGATTTAGATTATTCCACAGTTAATGTTGATCAAATGTACCCTTTTAAATAAAATGCCGTTTTACACCGTTTTCCGGTAAAATCATCGGTAAAATAGTCCACTTAGGTTTGATTTTTGGAAAGGTCCAAACATGTCACCCACCATGGCATTTGAATTAATTCTTGAAAAAACTGCTAAATGGTGTTTGATTGCACAAGGTCAGTGCTTTTTCAGTAAGGTTATAATTTGTAGTTTGAACTAACTTGCGTGGGCACAGAATATATTGTAAATGCATACCAAGCAGTGCCTTATTATACCACAGGGGACAAAGCATTGTGTTTCCTATTGTAGAAACATTCTCCACAGACAAAGCACAGACACTTTCGACAAAGCATTGAACATTAGACTGACAACCAAGGACAACGGGGGGGGGATGTTCAGTTTGCTCCTTCATCTGTAAAACAATCCTCCCCCTACACACACTCACGTACCCTTAACCAGAGAATTCGGGCAAAATGCTCCTTTTCCTCTACGAGCTGGTTTCTTGGTGATAATTTCCCGAACTGTTCTTCATTTTGCCATTAAAATAGTCTGTCCCGAAAATACCTGGGACTTTTTTATAGCCTTTTTTTTGGGGGGGGGGACATTATTTGGACTAGTGCAAGTCCACCCTGGGTCTTCTAATCCCACATTATATGAGCTTATTTGGGCTGAAGTCCACACTTCAGCAGTGAAAATCTATACCAGAAACTTGGGGGGGGGTGAGGCGGGGGATGATTTGCCCGGCGATGAAACCATGTAACATTATGAAGTGAATGTTCACAATATCGATGTATATCTGTATTGTGCATTCAGAGTGTCATATTTATGTTTTTTAAAAACTGTTTTCCCTTTCTTTGAGTAATGTTGAATGCATTTTAGTCGTTGGAAGTCTGAACAATTCTTCACAATGCTTTTTCTGCACACCACAAAAAGGGGCGGGATGATTCATTAGTCAAGCCTAAAAACCGGATTTACGCGCATGCGTACTTTGTATGTCACGCTTGCACACAAAAGGATGGGGGCAGTAAAAAATCTAAAGTCCGATCACAAAAATGCCAACATTTACCGGGGGGGTGCCACCTGTGTCATTCCGTGGACGTGTGCTCACTTCTACATGTACGGTGTGCACAGCATGGTATACATGATTACCCTCAGCATCAATATATTGCCGTGTTCAAAACACTCGCAGTGGAAATCAGCGGATGGCAAATTAGTTCAACTATATTTATTCATGAAATAAACTCTTCTGCCAAGTTCCTACTTATTTGATTGTAGGGTAATTTCGGGGGCCCTAAGGCATCATTGCCAGGGGAAATGTCAGGTTGGTACTCGTATTGAAGTAAGTGTATAGTTATAGTCCATATGCATTTTTCGTGGAGACACTTTTTGTGTAACTTTATGTTCTTCCATTCGCGAGGAATGGAACATGAATGGACGGATGTGTAGTTTAAAGTGACTCTTAACGTATGGGAAGTTATGATACTTGCGTCCAGATATGGATTCATTCCACCTTGGAATCCTTGCCGTGCACGTTTGGATTTGAAATGACCGTCAACTATTTTGTGACAATATTTAAAGGTACACGATTGAACTTCTGTCGGTGGGTTATTCATACTGTCGTTGAGTTTATTATAAAGCACTGTACATACTCAGTGTTTTCTGAAGGCTTGGTATAAAATAAACGTTTAGCTTCTTATTGATAGTACTCATCTGTACATTACTTCACAACTTGTGTAAAATATCCAATGTAACGTTAACATCTCCCTGACCTAAACTTATCATTCACCTTGTAGGTATGTTTATGACATTAATACTCATAACCGTGACCACAACGCTGTTGTCAACCCGGATGCATAAGAAGCCAGATTCACATAAGTTTGAGATTGTACAACAGCCACAA